TAACACCATGGGGAATGTGATTTCAGACCCGATTTTCATTGGAGGTGCTTTTCTTTTGGCCAATACTGTGCTTGCTGGGCTGCTGCTCTTTGTCAGCATTATTTTTGGTTTGTTTTATCCTCTGCTTTTCCCTTTTCTTATTTGAAACATTTCTAATTGAATTCATCTTTTATATTGTTAATTCACCTTGGCCTCAGTTATGAAGTAAAATACCTTGAAATTACCTTGATCATGCAAGACACCTCTGATGAGGACTTCAAAAAAAAAGTTTTTTTTTACTGCTGGACTCTCTCTACAGCAGAATTCAAGGGACCATAACAAATAATTGTATTGCAAATTTTGTTGTGGACGAGTCTTATATAACATGGGTATTGACTGACATCTGGGATCCAAAAAATTTTTCATACAGAGAAAATCTTTGTGGACAAGATTGTTGTAGAGGGAGAGAGAGAGAGAGTCCAGCACCTGTATGTGAACTGAATAATCTTCAGTAATGAATCTAATGATGGCTGGAGAATTTCTCCACATTAGATAACCTGTCCTGGATCAAATAGATGTCGATTTTCCATCATTTTCAGATTTCGTATTATTAGTTGAAAAACAGTGATCTTCTGATAAAAAAAAATGCGTGAATCACAAAATGCATTTCATCAGGTTCACCAATTTCTTCATTCTATGGCAATGATGTGCGGAACCACTTGGAAGCAGTTTTTTATTGTCATTGATGACAGGTTCCAATTATGTTGCTATTAATAACCAAGCAGTCAGAGGCAGTCAAACACATTTGGGATCAGAAATTTCAGACTTTGCTTGCCTTATTCAGGAAATTTCTACTTATAGAGAATCTATTCAACATTCCTTCACAAAAAAGAGGGTACTTTTTCCTGTTATCTCAGTACCCATTTTTCTTTGTCTTGTTAATTCAGTATTTGTGCAATGAAAAATTAGTTAATCACATTAGTTGAAGAGAAAAGGAACTACAGTGGGCCCCCGACTTACGACGGACCCATGTTACGTCGGTTTCAAGTTACGACGCTTTTTCATGTATTAAAAAACCCCCGACTTACGTCGGGGTTTCATGATACGACAGCTTCTGAGGAAAATGCTTTGAGGTGGAATATTTTTTTCAGTAATTCTGAGAAATTAAATTCATTTAGAAAGAGAAAGAAAATGAAAATACTGCGGAAAATATTTGATTTGGAATTTTTGTGCTATATAAATCGGGGAAAATATTGCCTAAGTCACTTATGGTTATTGAGGATGATTTTTTTCTATCCATTTTCTGCACAAGCTTTGGGTAATATTATCTTCAGTTCTTTGCCAACTTATTTTGGTGCACTGCAAAAATTTTACTTGAGCCAGCTTTGTTGTGGACGAGTCTTATATAACATGGGTATTGACTGACATCTGGGATCCAAAAAATTTTTCATACAGAGAAAATCTTTGTGGACAAGATTGTTGTAGAGGGAGAGAGAGAGAGAGTCCAGCACCTGCATGTGCACTGAATAATCTTCAGTAATGAATCTAATGATGGCTGGAAAATTTCTCCACATTAGATAACCTGTCCTGGATCAAATAGATGTCGCTTTTCCATCATTTTCAGATTTCGTATTATTAGTTGAAAAACAGTGATCTTCTGATAAAAAATTCTTGAATCACAAAATGCATTTCATCAGGTTCACCAATTTCTTCATTCTATGGCAATGATGTGCGGAACCACTTGGAAGCAGTTTTTTATTGTCATTGATGACAGGTTCCAATTATGTTACTATTAATAACCAAGCAGTCAGAGGCAGTCAAACACATTTGGGATCAGAAATTTCAGACTGTGCTTGCCTTATTAAGGAAATTTCTACTTATAGAGAATCTATTCAACATTCCTTCACAAAAAAGAGGGTACTTTTTCCTGTTATCTCAGTACCCATTTTCTTTGTCTTGTTAATTCAGTATTTGTGCAATGAAAAATTAGTTAATCACATTAGTTGAAGAGAAAAGGAACTACATCACTACCATCCAGACACATAAACTAACTTCACCTAACCGCCTCCCAAAATCAGATTCTGCTTTCTTTGGGTTTCTGCTGAAACAGATTTTGGGAGGCGGTTAGGTAAAGTTAGATTATAGGTCAGGTTTTGTTAATTGAAAGATATTTGTAACTAAATTAACCTGACCTAACCTAACTTTACCCAACTGCCTCCCAAAATCAGTTTCAGCAGAATGCGGAAAAATTTAATTCACAGTTTCTGGTAGGTGCAAGGAAAGTAGGTATTGAGATAACAGGAAAGTACTAACAAAGTTGTAAAGGTGTTCTGACACTGGAATTTGGAAGTTGGTTAAACTAAACAAGAAATCAGGGTACATGTGTTTTAATGAGATTTTACTGAACACAGAACGAGCTGAGGAGGAGCGCAGGGTGAAAGCAGCAGCAGAAGCCGAGGAGTCCAAGGCCTGGGGCATGGATGAGCAGTTTGAAAAGATGTTGGCTGCCAAATTGGCTGCGGCTGAGATTGCCAATATGAAACGCGCGAATGCCCGTGCCATAGAAGAAGAGATTGAAGTGTTATCAAGGCTCATGGAAATTGTTCGCAGCCGGGACCTGGAACCAGATGAGAAGAAACTCATCAATGAGCTCCTTCAAGCCCCTGACGCGTACGATGATAATGACCATGCTTCGGACAATAAGCGCTGAGAACTGAAGATCTGACTACTGTATAATCATGTGCCTTTATTTCTTTCTTTTCCAGTTTTCTCTTTTCTTTGAAGATTTCATCTCACATTCTCATGTGAGAGTCATGCAAGTAATGCACAGAAATGCATCATATAAGACCCTGATGAAAAAACTCGGGTGCAGACTGAATAATACGTAAAATAATGCGATATAAGGGAGTATATATACGTCAATTAATATCACTCCTGCAATTTTTTTTAACAAAGAATATTTGACTCCGTGATTCTCCGTGGCATCAATTGAACCAAGAATATCCGAGAAATTCCTGTAAGTAAAGTATTGTACTCATTTCATAAAAACATGAGAAGTTTGAATTACAGTACATAAATAATGTTAGCGGTACCACGCATTTAGCAACAATATTTTTTTTCTGAAAATTTTATTTATATTTGACATTGGTGCACAGAATTTAGGCAATTCGTTGATGCTATTGGGGTTTTAAGCCTTGAAGTCATAGGAGTGGTAGGACTGAATGCATATTCATGCAAGCAAAGAACAAATGTTGACTGTTTTAGCTGAGGTTGATCTAAGGTAAAGCGTGGTGTCCTGAGCAGTATGTCTTAGGTTTCATGTACGAGCGACATCTGCAATGAAAAACAAACTAACACATTCCTCGTCATCAATATACGCCTTATACGGTATTGTTATCTTGTACACGAAATGGAGGAATACTGTCGATGTAAATAGTATGATTATTTCCTTTATGCATTAATGCATGTCCAATATGAATTAATGATGGATACCGCGTTAAGTATTGGGGTAGAAAACAGCTGTGCTGCACGACTCAGATGAGCCCATATCGCAAGGGCCGCACCAACACAATTTTTGTTTTCAAGAGCCATATTGGAGATGTCAAGAGTTGAAAAAAGACCATTCTTGCCAGACAAGACATAAATTTCTTAAACACACTTAGGAGTACAGATAGAATTTCTTAAAAGGCACTTGTTGAAACTTTTTCCTTGTTAGAGACTGAGAAGTCTCAACAAAGAAAATAAGAGAATGATAAATGAACCACAGCTGTCCTAGAATCTGTCCGTAGACTTAAATCCTTGGGCAAAGCGAAGAATGGAAAAAGAAGGGAATTAGAGTATGCTAGGATCAATAATTATAGAAGTGAGACTAAAAAGTAGTAGCTCGAATTTAGGAAAGATGAGCAGAAGGTTTCAAGAGCAAAGGAAGGGAAACACAGCACTCAGCCGGGTTGCCGGCCTGCCCCCGTTTACTAGGGGCTGATCAATTGACAAACTGTATTTCACAAAAGATGACACAAGTGTTAACAATTCCTTTTGAAAAGAAATCACTGAATTCAGCAGGTTCAAAGGCACAAGCAGGCACTTCTCAAAATTCCGACTCGGACACGAACACTTCGAAATCTTGCACAGGAATGGGTACAGGCTTTTGGGTTTTCACCCCTTTTTATTAATTTTTAATTTGGCGCGTACTTCGTGTGGTCTTGCTTCTTCAATTTTCTCTTCCTCTTCTCTGATTGGCTTCTTGATGGCGCCATCCGGTTGCAATGGTTGCTTCTTGTTCTTAACAAATTTTTTCTCTGGTGATCCTTCTTCCTTTTTTGCAGCGATTTTTTATTCTTATTTATTTTTTTGTTTTTTGGATATTTTTCCAGGACAACAGCAATAAGCCTGGGAGCCTCTTTATAGAGGCCCCAAAAGAAGTGAGTATTTAATAATTTCCCAAAGAATAATTCAACTCCTAGAATTTTTGACTTCGCACACACATGCTTTTACACAACACAATGATAAAATCAGATGTCTCAAGAGCTCTTCACACTTCAAGAGTTGGCATTGGAATGAATTCATTGTTACTTGTTTTTGGAGAAAGAAAAAAGAGAAGGAAAGTGGTTTTCCTCGTGGGAAAAATATTGGCCTCTGATTGGCTGATTTCATTGGAATCAAAGAAGATGCTGTGCATCATCATACAATTCCTTTGGACTTGTTCTTTGGTGCTGGGCCTCTACCAAAGGACAAGTTTTTGGGATGAAGTGGTAGTTTATTATTATAATTATTTACCGGCGCCAGACTCAGTCCCCAACAGTCCCTGAAAAATTCATTTCCAAGAGGCTCCTATAATTTCTCTTTTAAATGGGAAGTTTCAGATGAAATTCAGTTCTATGGAGTGAATCACACACATGGCCCAAAAGAACTTCTGATGATTTCGAAAGAAAAAAAAAATCAGATTTGTTATCATTATTATTGGAAGTTTCCACCTTGTAAATTATAGAAAAAGGACCGCATGACGGATGAAGCCTCTCGATCTGATGCGGGCCGGATCCGGCCCGCGGGTTGTGTGTTGGGCAGCGCTTATGGGGAACGAGTATCCAGACATATAATGAGACACCTCTTTGTTCGACTGTGTGAAACGCCTGCGGTAATGCAGGAAACTGATCAGAGGTCAATATGAAAAAGTTAGAAAATTAATTTCATGGCACGACTGAATTTTAGAATTTTTTTTAAATGACCATCATGGTCATACGTTAATGTACAGAGACTTCGTCAAAAAAACGTAAAGTCGATGCAAACTTACAAAGATATTTTTCAGAACAGATTTTCATGAGTTGCGATGTAAACTACTTGATATGATCAGTGAATGTTGTACGGTTTTATTTGAGAAGAGAAATAAATTAGAGCAAGCTGTACACCTTGCAAGTACTGTTTAGAATAATTTAAGTCGACAAGTTTTTAGTTTGGTACTTATAAGTCAGGAATTAAAAGATAGTTCTTTGAGGACAAGTAAGATATGAAGAAAATAAATTCAACACAGCAATTGGCCGGTGCGCGAACCGACCAGGGATTCTCTCCCAAAAAAGCGCAAGTCCTTTGTTAAACAATTCAGCAAACAGGAACACAAAAAGTACAGAAGATATTCACAGCAGTTTTTGAACCACAAAATATGCACAACAGGTTTTTCTGATTTCCGCGAAAGGTTAGTTTTTGGCAAAAGTACGAGATTTCTCCAACACGACGTAACGCTTTGAGGTAAAAATTCGGACTGTGTGTTGTCACTCAAAATTCAAGGGTTTTTAAGCAAGAAAAGGGGGCGGGGGCACAAGGTACCTGCAGGGAACCCCAGCAGCTGGGTGTTGCACCCAGAAAAACACCAGCTGCTTGGTATTTTTCCAGACAAAAATTTGAGATGCTTGAAAATGTTTTTTCCCGAAAACCGGGTGTCTTTTTCAATTTACACAAGTTTACGAGGCTGCGCATGTTTTGAGGAGACGGGGACAAATGGTTTAAGTGTCCGAGGGGCATGTTTTTCCCAAAAGACGTCGGACGACATGATAATAAAATAAATAAGACGCGTAAAAAGTATCGGCGACTTCGAATATCAGCCAGCAGCTGGCAAAATCTGGGCTCCCCTTTGGGATATTTGATCTTTTTTGAAAACAGCAAGGAGTGAGGGGTCATTTGACCATTAACTGGAAACGTTTGCCCAGAGATGGGCTTGTATCTCAAGACTTTCGACAGTTTTTGAGTTTACCATAATTTTGTTTTGAAGCCCTGTGGAAGGGTCCTTTTTTGAACAGCTGCAGGCGCGTCCCGAGACGCGCCAATTATTGCTTAATTTTAAAAATATTTTGTCAGTTTTAGTTGTTCTTGGTTTCAACAAAAAATTCCGCACAACTGAGTCACATTACAATACTTTTACTATACTGTACTGTACTGTACTGTAGAAGTGTCCAATATTAAGGTTTTTGTTTTTTGGAAAAAATCCTGCATTCGTTTAATTTTCCTTCCCTGAATATTTCCTGCTTTCAAATTGGCATAGCTTGAACAACAAAAGAACTCGATGTCCCATTCAATAAAAATGGAAGATGTTTTCTCGTGATAAACAGAAAATTTCCATTACGAACAACAAGGTATTCTCTTGCGCCACAACAGCAATAATGTTTTGATTTCAACTTGTTCCTAGACAGCGAAAAAACAGCAGGTGACAAGTTTCCGGGTCTGTGGTTTCAGGTTTCTCGAAAATCCCGCCACAGCACATGTCCCCCAGTTCAAATTTTACTGGAAGGGAGCAATTCCCCCTCTCTTGTTTTTGCCAACTCGTTGTAATTTGTTTAAGTTTACAGCCCCGTTGGAGGGTTGACTAGCAGCTGCAGGCGCGTCCCAAGACGCAACAATTATTCTTGACAAATTTTAATCTTTGCTGGGTCTGTGTAGGAGAAAAAATTCCGCACAAATGTTTCTCGTTGAAGACGAGAATCCGTTTAAAAAAAATGCCAAACTGGAAATAATTGGGATTGGAATGCGAAATATATGCAATTTTTGCAGGTTCTGAATTATTTTAGAACTGGACAGTTTTCCGACACGAGTGCCGCATGTTAACCGCAACTGGATTCAATTATCCGCGAATGCCCGAAACAGTTCACTTGTTTTTTCCCCGGAGTGAATACTGGTTTGATAATTATGCATTCACTGACCTGATAACAAAGGACCAAAAGCCCCACGAATTACGGAGACAGGATAACGACATGGTTAATCTAGTCTACAACTGAGAAGCAATTCATGTAAAGTTTTCATAGCAAATATCGGAGCAAAAGTACATGCGCAAACAATCCGATTTCCAAGAAACCGTAGACTTGTTTTGCTGTTCGCATAAATTATCATTTTATATTGATTGGAAAGCCTTTGGTGTCCCAATATTATAATTTTTTTAAATTAATATATGAAATTTCAGTTTTAAAAATCTATGTTTTAGTGATAAATGCGCTTTACATTGATCCTCTAAAAATTTTATTTTGCCAACGCATCACTTCAGCAAGGTGAAACAAATATTTTAATATCAGAAATTATAGGCACGCGCAATTTATTGAAATTTTCCTCACAAATACATCAGATATTCCATATTTTACCAAGCAAATCAAATTTGCACGAGCACATTTTCAGAATCAGTCCCAAGACTTCCGATTAGCAATCCATCAGAAACATGACAAATGTACGCCTTTTTTTGTAATGAAAAATTATTCAAATGGGAAGTTCAGGATTACCTCGCAATTCGACCCTAATCTCTTGCCAGAATTGGATCAAATTGAAAATTGGTTGGATTGCGAGGCACACTGTGAAATTCAAAAATATAAATTTAAAAATGGCACAA